TACAGAATTCACTATGCAACTAGAGATTGGAATTAAGGTTTTAAATTGTTGTGTTTTTGGGTGCAACAAGAGAAAAAGCAAACATAGAGAGTTTATAAATATAAGATCTACAGAACTGTGAAAAAATTCGTAACACGGATGGGATTGTTCACAGCACCTCTAGCTTCCCACACACATTTTGCATACGCATATGACCTACGTAGTTTTTTAGTAGCAAAACTTGTTACAAGAAATTTGTTTTACACTGAACATATTTTTTCACTAGATCTAATTAATGTTCTCAAAACATGTGTTCAATAATTAACTTTATGAGAGAGAGGAGAGAGTGGGGGAGAGAGAGAGAGAAGAGAGAGAAAGAGAGAGAGGGTGAAGGGGAGGGGTGGGAGAGAAAATGAGAGATGAATGAGTGTACACAAAAGGAATGTTTTAGAGAACAATGAATAGGTATATTTTGTATTCGTGCTCAGGCGTGTCCTGCGTGCAAACGTGAGTATATTTTCAAGTTTTGCGAGCTAAGATAAATAAACCCGATTTAACGGCGCTCGAAAACGCTCGAAATTTACTCACTTCTGCATGCAGAACACGACTGAGCGCGCACACAGTCTTGACAGCGTGCACAAAATCTTGACAGCGCGCACGACGCAAGATCAACTCACATTCAGTGACAATAACAACAAGAAAGGAAAAAGAAAGTAGATAACGGCACTTGAAACTGATATGAAAATACAATGCCACACGACGTTACATTGCAGCGGCGCCCGCTCCGCTCTGCTGGCAGTGTGGCCGCCCAATGTTAACGCCTCAAACAGCTGCGTCCGCTGTGCTTGCAGTGTGGCCACCCAATGTTAGCGCCTCAAACAGCTGCGTCCGCTGTGCTTGCAGTGTGGCCACCCAATGTTAGCGCCTCAAACAGCTGCGCCCGCTGTGCTTGCAGTGTGGCCACCCAATGTTAGCGCCTCAAACAGCTGCGCCCGCTGTGCTTGCAGTGTGGCCACCCAATGTTAGCGCCTCAAACAGCTGCGCCCGCTGTGCTGGCAGTGTGGCCACCCAATGTTAGCGCCTCAAACAGCTGCGCCCGCTCTGCTTGCAGTGTGGCCACCCAATGTTAGCGCCTCAAACAGCTGCGCCCGCTGTGCTTGCAGTGTGGCCACCCAATGTTAGCGCCTCAAACAGCTGCGCCCGCTCTGCTGGCAGTGTGGCCACCCAATGTTAGCGCCTCAAACAGCTGCGCCCGCTGTGCTTGCAGTGTGGCCACCCAATGTTAGCGCCTCAAACAGCTGCGCCCGCTGTGCTTGCAGTGTGGCCACCCAATGTTAGCGCCTCAAACAGCTGCGCCCGCTCTGCTGACAGTGTGGCCACCCAATGTTAGCGCCTCAAACAGCTGCGCCCGCTGTGCTTGCAGTGTGGCCACCCAATGTTAGCGCCTCAAACAGCTGCGCCCGCTCTGCTTGCAGTGTGGCCAGAGCCTAAGGTCATAATTTTATGAGCGCCAGAAGATTAGAGCAGTTACAAGAGAGCAACAAACATAAAAAAAGAAAAAGGGGAGATAAGGACGATAGATGTTTGATAGGAAAGAAAGAGCAAACCACACCAGAGCACCTGCCAACCACCCACTAAAAAGATCTGTCTTCATTTAGTTTTAGTACGAGTTTTACGGCACTTTCAACACAATAAGGTCATATAAGTGCCGAAGGTTAGAGGAGTTACAAGAGAGTAACAAACAAAAAAGAAGTAGGAGAGATCAGGACGATAGATGTTTGATAGAAATGAAGGAACAAACCAGACCAAAGCACCCGCCAACCACCCACGAGCGTTCTTGACCTCGCGTCTTTTTGTTGGGTTTTCAAAGCCATCGTCCCATTTGACTGGGTCCTATCGGGGACGACCGTTAAATCTGAAGGTCCTGCCTCTTAAATAATCGAATAGTGTTAGCCTACATACTTTTACCCTTATTTCTTACAATCACTTTTTTTTTTTAGTAGAGGATTTTACGGCGCTCGCAACTGCATAAGGTCATAGGAGCGCCAAGGGGCGGGTGTCAACAAAGAAGTCCTTACAGGGAATCAGGCTTACTCTGCTCACCTCTCTAGCTTCGACAGCACAAAGGCTGCTTCGACTATCAAGGCACCCCGGAAATAGCAGGTCACAAGAGTGTGACTAACATACAAAAGAAGTAGAGGAAAATGACAATAGTAAGGATTAGGAAAGAAAAAGCAGCAGTTCCCTGTTGCAGATCAGGCACAGTTATGAGCGTGACATGAATCAGCCCATTTACAATTCTACTGTGCATGAATGAGAAATGTCCCCCTTTTGGGAATGGCCTAAAGACACTACAGTCAGTGGTACTACTCCGGGGAGTACAATCACTTTAACTGCCAGAGTATTAGCTAACCTTGTAGACTTTTCTCATGTCATTTTTTAAAAAAGGAAGATTCCCCTTCTTTTTTTTCAGAATGCTTTTCAGTCATTCATTCGTTCTTTCATTCATTCATTCATTCATTCATTTATTCATTCATTCATCTATTTATTCATTTGTTTATCTATTTATCTATTTTTTTCTAAATATAATTATAATGATCAACTGTTTAAAACATCCCATTTGTCCATTTACAATAATATCTCCTCCTTTTGATCTTAATACTCAGTTTGATGAATTCTTCAGTTCATCATGACATTATAATAATAATAATAATAATAATAATAATAATAATAATAATAATAATAATAATAATAATAATAATAATAATAATAATAATAATTGTAGACATCATACAGCAGACGGGCTATTACGACCTTGTTCATCGGGGCAAACCCTGGTTAGGTGGGTTGCAATATTATTATTGTTATTAGTATTATTGATATTGTATTGGAAATTGTTAAATAATATGCTAATTAGAAACAACAAAAATGAAACCAAACAGCACTAGCGTTACTGTAAAATTATTCATGTGTTGGTGTAGCGATTAGGTGCAGCTAGAGGACCTGAGTTCGATTCAGACGTGGGGAGAAAATTAGTATGGAGTACATAATTTGTCTCTCGGTCTTCTTAATTAGTATGGAGTACATAATTTGTCTCTTGGTCTTCTTAATTAGTATGGAGTTCATAATTTGTCTCTAGGTCTTCTTAATTAGTATGGAGTTCATAATTTGTCTCTTGGTCTTCTTAATTAGTATGGAGTTCATAATTTGTCTCTTGGTCTTCTTAATTAGTATGGAGTTCATAATTTGTCTCTAGGTCTTCTTAATTAGTATGGAGTTCATAATTTGTCTCTTGGTCTTCTTCCGGGGTCGTTGTATCCTTCTCACAGTACGGGCTGGCCATGACAGGCAGGCTCGAGGCCCGTACCCTGATCAATGAATAATCTAAATTGTGCCGATGGGGGCCTAAAAAAACCCTACATTTATTCAAAAACAGGTTCAACCCCACCCTGAAACGAAAATTTAAAAAAAAACAACAAAAAAAAACAACAACAACAACAAAAAACAACAAAAAACCCAACCCAAAGCGAAATCCAACCCAAATGTAAAATGTTCATCTAATACATCGACAATATAATATAACCAAACACCAAAGGTCACGTTGTAAATTAATAATATTACGTTGACTAGGAATAATAACGACAACGAAAACGAAACCATGAAAACCTCAAATAACCATTGACTAAAGCTATACAATTTCACTTGTTGTTTTTGTTTTGTTTTGTTTTGTTTTGTTATACTTTTCGAAATGGAACCCTTCCCCCCCCCCCCCCTCCCCCAAAAATAAAAAAAAAATAAAATAAAATAAAAATAAAAATAAAAATAAAAAAATTGATCGGGAATTGAAAAAAAAATGTTACAACACTAATTGCAACATTCATAGGGTCAACGCCCCTTGCAACACAGTGAGGTTATTTATGGGTCGGGACCTCAGAATTTAACGTTCATCTCCAATCAGAATCAAATTATGGCATTCTTCGTGTATGTCAAGTGCATTGTTGTGACGGACCAAATGTCGGACAGAGCTGAGCCTGGAACCCTGAACCTGCAACCCCACGATGACGAGTCCGATGACCTAACCACTACACTACCATCGCTACTTCTGACTTTTCAAAATTAAACAGGAAGCAAGTTTACCGTTCAGTGTAGCGATATATTTTCGCAGTTTTCTTTTCTTTTTCTTTTTTTTTTCAAAATCAAACAGCAACAACTTTACCTTTCAGAGTTGCAAGGCGCATTAAAACCTAACGATTTCACAACCTTATTGGGTTTTTTTCGAAATCAAACAAGCAACAATTTTACTATTCACTTAGGGTCAAACTTAA